TAATGCAAAAAAATTCCTGCCCCTCTACTCGGCCTTGGTGAGGCTGCACCTCAATCACTGTGTGCAGTTTTGGGCACCATGGTATAGGAAGGACATGGAGGTGCTGGAGAGGGTGTAGAGAAGGGAACTAGGCTGATGAGGGGTCTGGAGAACAGGTCTTATGAGGAGAGGCTTAGGGGTCTGGGGCTGTTCAGCCTGGAGAAGAGGAAGCTGAGGGGAGTCCTTACAGCTTTCTACAACTACCTGAGAGGAGGCTGTGGTGAAGTGGGTATTGGCCTCTTCTCCCAGGTGACAAGGGATAGGATAAGAGGAAATGGGGTCAAGTTGCACCAGGGGAGGTTCAGGCTGGATATTAGAAAATAAAAATCTTCACAGAAAGAGTGGTGAGGCATTGGGACAGGCTGCCCAGGGGTAGTGGTAGAGGCACCATCCCTGGAGATGTTCAAGAAAGGGGTAGACCTGGGTGTTTCATAAGATGGTTTAGTGGTTAGGGGTTGTAGGGTGGATGGTTGGACTTCATGATCTTGAAGGTTTTTTCCAACTGTGACAGTTCTATGATTCTATGTTTTGATGTGATTGGGATTTTTACTCAATATTCCACATTAAATGTACTGAGTTTCTTTTCAGAATTGAAATCTAGTTTGGGGGGGGGGGGAAATGCCACAACCTCCCGAATATTAAAAGTTGCAAATACTTGTCTGCCTTTCACTGTTTCATGAGTATTTTCATGAATATAAACTAACTGTGCTGTTTCCCTAAACTGTGCTGGAAGACACTTAGTAATCCAGCAAATCAAAAACCTTTGGATTCTTCTTCTATCTGTTTTCACCAACTGTTCAGTACGACTTAAGCCTTCTCAAAGTCAACTTGAAGAAGACTTAGGTGCACAAGTGCAGTCGAGGCGACGCAGAGAGCAGGGCTTTGGGGGTTCAGGAGTTACTCTGAGTTGTGGTGTTGTAACCTGAGGGCAGAATTTGACCTGCTGTGTCAAATAAGACACAACATTATTATTCTGCTGTTGAACTGGTGGCAACTTAAATGCTGCTGAATGATGAATCAGCTTTCTAGCTGTAGAAAAGAACTCAAGTCACATATTGAATTAATTTGCAATGAGATAGATGTTTATTTACTTTCAGCACAGTTAATTTGTCACTTTTAAACTGACCAACTCTATTGGCTTATGCACCGTCTCTCCTGAAATTTGTGAAGGTAAGCAGGAGTGCAAAGTACAACAAATCAATATTTTTGGCTGCTGCCTTAATGAAAAGAAGACTGCAGTATCCATTATAATCATTAGGCTATAAACTGGGCCAAATTCATCCAGATATGTAAGCAGGCTGGACTCCAAGCAAGTCCATGCTTTCAACAGAATTCTGCTCAAGTGCATTATTTTTATTCTTCTGCAATATTCCATCCTAACTGTATCACGCTGTGTGCTGAGTGAGATGTGCCTGTGTTCCCCACACAAGGGGGAAACAGTGCAGAGATACCCGAGGAGCAGCTGGCCTGCATGGTGGATCCACACTGCACCATGCTGGCACACACTTGGCATGATAGCTATGTTCTTGTTCCACTGTAGATGCATATAGATGCATGTAAGTGCATCTAACTCCACTCAGCTTCACCTGACTTTGGGTGTGGGTTCCCCAACAGGCTGCTCTCCTTTCAGGTCTGAACAGTGATTCGTGGTCAGTGAGCTTGGGAGTCTTCTCCATGTTGGCCAACATGGATCTCTCTGCGTAGGGTATATGTGCAAATCTTGGTGCTGTCGCAGTTTGGCAAGATACGTGCCATCAGAGTGGGTCTGGGATTTCTTTCCCACAGTGCTGCTCTTTGCCTTGTGTTGTAGAGGATCAGTTTTAAAGATTATTGTTGTTATACCATTCTAGCTGTGAGCATATTTACATGTAATGCTACAGCATTTCTAGCCACAGCGTGGCTGCAAAGCTGCCTGGCAGAAAAGGACCCAAGGGTATTGGTTGACAGTTGGATGAATATGAGCCAGCAGTATGCCCTGTTGGCCAAGAGGGCCAACAGCATCTTGGCTTCTATCAGAAATAGCGTGGCCAGTAGGACTAGGGAAGTGATTTTTCTCCCCCATACTTGCCACTGCTGAGGCCACACCTCAAATACTGTGTTCAGTTTTGGGCCCCCCAGTAAAGAAAGGACATTGAGATGTTGGAATAAGTCCAGAGAAAGGCATTGAATCTGGTAAAGGGTCTAGAGCACAAGTCATACGAGGAGCAGCTGAGGGAGCTGGGGTTGTTCATTCTGCAGAAAAGGAGGCTGAGGAGAAACCTTCTCACTCTCTACAACTACCTGAAAGCAGATGTTGTAGTGAGATGGTGTTTGATCTCTTTTCCCAAGCAACAAGTGATAGGACGAGAGGAAATGGCCTCAAGTTGCACCAGAATATGTTTAGATTGGATATTAGAAAAAAAAATGTCTTCAATGAAAGGGTTGTCAGGCATTGGAACAAGGTGCTCAGGGAAGTGATGGAGTCACCATCTCTGGAGATGTAGATGCAATGCTTGGAGATACGCTTTAGTGGTGGACTTGGACAATTGGACTTGATGATCTTAAAGGTCTTTTCTAACCAAAAAAATTCTATGATTCTATAATTCACTGCTAAATACTCTAGTTCAAATGTGGTAGCAACCAGACATGTTGAGAGTGTTTGCCATCTCAGAGTGCTTGATGAAGTGAAATTTTACATGTGTTTAATCCCACAGCCTTGAGAATCACTTTCAGGTTTTTTTTTCAATGGATTTACTTTCCTTTTCCAGGAAGCAGAGCTGGGAAAACTTTGTAAATTGATTA